TTTATCAATTTTTACCTTTCATTTTATGGCAATTTGGAGGGATGGAAATTTGACAGTCTTATTTTTTTCTCTCTGACTTCAGAGAAAAAGGGTTATGAGCCATAACCCTCTCAGGAGCCTATCTTTTTCCTCACTAATTCCCAGAACATTCTTAATAGTGATCCTCCCCACAGTAAACATGAAAGCCCTAGTATTGAGAGTTCTGGACATTTCAGAATAATGTGCTCTTTTCTTTTTCATTGAAAACAAAACAGTAGGCATTTGCTTCTGGTCATCACACTTAAAAGGGTTTTTTGTTTCTTTGCTTGTTTTTGCATTTCCAAAGAGTGAATTTTTTTTTTTTTCTTTTTGTCTTTTTGAGACAGGGTCTCCCTGTAGCCCCAGCTGTCCTGGAACCCACTATAGAGACCAGGCTGGCCTCGGACTCACAAAGATCTGCCTGCCTCTGCCTCCCAAGTGCTAGGATTAAAGGTATACGCCGCCATGCCCAGCCAAAGAATGATTTTTTATGAATATATTAATGGAACATACCAGATAAATAAAATCTGGGCTTCTTCCTGGACCACTCCTGAATTTTCATGTATGAATTAAATGCCATATATGGGCTGCAGAATTCTGATACGTCATAAAAGTCATATGAACACAAAATGAATATTGGTCAGCAGCTCAGTGAAATACATTTTCCCAATGAAAATAACTTCTGTCACTTGATGACCCATAAAGAAGTGAAGCTGAATTAGTTTACCCGTTGAAGGTCTGGTTGTGTGTCTTCATCTGCTCTGCCCAGGAATCTCTTACTGGCCATGGGCTCCAGTTTGCTCACATTTATTGTTCAAACATCCATCCTCTTATAGTTTCTTGTCCCCTCTTCCATGCCCAGGTCTAAAATTGAACCTCCCCTGTGGGTCCAGATTCCTGTACTTGCTCATTAATCTTATTATCCCCTTGTAGTTAGTCAAACAGGAACTTTAGGTTTCTCTGCCTCATGCTGTCTGCACTTCACTGTAATCAGAAGATTAAGAGTTGTCAAAGACATCTTGGCAAAATGAGAATCTTTTTTCATGCTAGACACAGTGTGTAGTGAATAAAGTCATTGACTCTTTATAAGACCTTATGTGGTATATGGATTGTTTCCTCTGTAATTCCAGAGTTTGGTATAGTGAGCATTTGGAACCTAGGGATATGGTAAGGCAGGCAGTGTTCAGGTGCCTCTCCCTGGGCAGTGGGCCCAGATGTCTCTCTTTCCTATACTGTACCACATATCTAAAATATTTACAGTGGACATGTCTTAGCCTTTCAAAACTAAATTAAGTTGTAATGAGTCACACCTGTAATCCCAGCACTAGGGAAACAGATGCAGAAGGATAGGAGTTCTCAAATTAGGAAATTAAATAACATGTCTCAAAAAAAAACTGTAAGCACCTTATAAGGAAGGGGAAATGAGAGTTATGTGTCTGTAGGACACTTGGAAAGTATGGAAAATAGAAAAATCACATATGACTGAAATGTATACATGGCCTTTGTAAACCTTTTGTATAATAATTTGTAGTCCTTATGCATATAATTGAAAATTACAGTCATTTATCACTTTTTATCCATTAAAAAATGGGGTGCCAGAACTCATGCCTGAAGGACTATAGAAGTTCCCCCTCTGAAGCCAGGTGTAGTGCTGCATGCTTGCAGCTAAGCCAGGAGGATCTGGAGCGCAAAGCTAACCTTGATTACATAGGAAGTTTGAGGCCTGCTTGGGCTGCTTGAGACCCTGTCTGAAAAACAAATTCAGATTCACCTTTCATCTTGACCTCTTCCTGTGCTGCTTTCTCCATTGTCTGAAGCTGCTATCTCTGACGTAAGTGTGAGCAAGGAAGCCTGTTTGGTTGTCGATCTCACTCTTCAGTAAGCATGAAGTGCTAGGAGAATCCCGCTCTTTGAGAGTGTGGATGCATAAAGGAAAGAACTGTGTGACCTTTGGCACCCAGAAATATTGACCAAGAACACCAGAAAGTAGACCCACTTGGATTCTGTCAGAAGTCCACGTGATTCTCCTCGAGAAAGCCTTTTTTGTACAAGAAGGTGGAGCTCAGAGATTTGACGAGTGGCTAAGTCGAGTCCAGATGTAGTTCAGAATCCATTTCACTGAACAGTGTCATAGGAAGGTGCCCCTATTTTCCCTATGCTGAAAGCTCTAAATGTTGGCATTTGTGGAATTCTTAGGGTGGGAACCAGATTCTTTTTCCCCCTCCTCCCATTTCAAAGTGGGATCAACAGGTTTGGAGCAAAGGTGGGGGAGACCCGAGCTCTCTAGGCCAGCTCTGTCTCTGTTGATTTGGGTTATCTTGAACTCTTTCCTCCTCTTTTCTAGGTCTCTGCTCCCTATCTGTAAAAGGGAGGAGGTTAAAATAAATCTAAGTTCCTAAGTTTGTTTTTAGTGACTAATGTGTCGCTGTTCCTTCTTATCAAATGCCAAATGGGTATGGGTTCCTAAGTTCCTAGGCACCTTGAATGTTCTTTACAGGGTAGGATTTTGGCCAAGAGATTGGTGGGGTCAAGAATGAGTACTCTTGGTGCCTGGACTTGAATCCCCACTCTCTCATTTACATGTCATCATCTAATGTTGAACAAGCTACTTAACCTCGTTACACCTGTTTTCTAATTTATGAAATAGAAGCAGTAACTGATTTTCACAGAGTTGATGTGAAAATTCAGTGGGCCTGTGTGTCTAGGCCAGTTCACACAGTATGTGGCACAGAGTACCAAATAAATATAGCTAATGATAGTATAATGTTTTATGAGTACTAATTTGGAGGTCCATGCAGTTTCACAAGTGAAAACCAACAGTAGCTTCTTTTTAAAAATGATTTCTTGAACCGGGTGTAATGGCACATGGCTTTAATCCCAGTACTTGGGAGGCAGAGGCAGGTGGAGTTCTGTGAGTTCGAGGCCAGCATAATCTACATAGTGAGTTCCAGGCCAGCTGGGGCTACAGGGAGACCCTGTCTCAAAAAGAACCCCCCTCCAAAAAAATAGAATAGTAGCATTTAGTGAACCCTTTGGTTTTGCTCTCAGATCCGAGCCTGTAATATTCATTGAATTTTTTTTTTTTTTTTTTTTTTTTTTTTGCTAGGAACTCTGGGGCATACCATGACAGTCAAAGCAGAATTCTTCTGATATCAGTGTTTGGCTTTTTGCTTTGATCAATAGGCTTATTATTTGTCCTTGAACCTCTGTGGTACTGGGGAATCACAGACATTTCTCAGATTGATTTACATGGTAATAAATAATCTGTGCTGTCTATTGCTTGTCCCATCAATGTCTGCCCTGTTCGTAAAGCTCTAGAGGCTCAGCAGCCCCAAGGCTGCAGCACAGTGGACATATTAGAGACTTGTCTGCCAGGAATAAGCTGGCTGATGTTGTTCTGTTGTTCTACGATGCTTCCATAATCTAAGGACTGACATAACTCTGAAAGTTAGTTTCTATCTGACTTTATTATGGTTACCTTACCATTTATTTTTTTTTATTTCTGTTATATGTTAGGTGCTATATACATTTTTTTTAAATCTAATCCTGAATTAGGCCATTATAATGGATGTGGAAACTGAAAGACAAGGTGAAACTTATTCTCGACTCACATGGCCCATGAGCCACAGAGCTGAGATTTGAACTCAAGTCTCTCTGACTGCAAAACTCATAATTAGCACTCTCCTGTGGCATATTCCTCATCTACAGTGCACTGCTTCTACCTTAGCTTTGTGCCTAAGTTGGCACCCGCTTCAGAGATTCAAAAGTCTCTTCTGTCATTCAGATATTAATTTTAAATTTCTCACCATATTGCAAATACATGAATTGTAAAGTGACAGCCATGGCCAGATTACTTTCTTGTTATCCATCCATTTAGCAGATTTACAGTTTCCATTAATTTTAATCTGTCCCTATTACCTGTTTTCTATAATAAATATCTCTCAGCCATGACAGACTCCCTGAGTATAGATCACCTGAAGTAGGCTCACTCTCAATAAGCAGAGTTGCAGCTAAAGATTTGTGAATTAATTGGGAAATTGCAAATCAGGTAGTCAGCGAAATAATTCATTGTCACATCCAATCAATAAACTTTGTAAATCAACTCATTTAATTCAAAAAATGATCTATATAGATCAAGCAACCAATTAAACAATTAGCATACACTTTGTAATTAATTAATTTAGGCATCAATCATGTAATTAAAACTTAAAATTTGAGCTGAGGAATTGAGAATTCTCCTGTCTTCTGAGCTGTTAGATTATGCTTCCAAAACCAGCCTGCCTTTGAGTGCAGCAGGTTTACAGTTTCCCAGTCCACTCTGGAACGGGCTGCCTTGAAGTATTTATATTGATTTCAGCATTCATTCACTCATTCGTTCATTCATTGGCAAGATCTCATGTGTTCCACACTGACTATGTGGCCAAGATGACTTTGAACGTGGGGTCCTCCTGCCTCTACCTTCTGAGTGCCAAGAACACAAGTATGTACTACCACATCTGGATTATTCAATGCTCAGGATCAAACCCAGGGCTTCTTGCATGCTAGACAAGCATTCCACCAACTAATCTACATCCCCAGCCCTGACTTCGGCTTTCAAATAGTCTATCTGTTGGTATAGTTTCCCCTTATTTTAAATAAACTGAGTTTTTACACTCTTTGAAGAGGGGAGAGTGATAGTGGTCAGAAGGACCAGGTGTCTGCATCAGGATATATTAGGCCATTTGCTTTATTCGGCTAAGGATCTGTGGAATTTGGAATAAAATCCTTCCTGAATAGTCACTCTTTAGGCAAAGGGAACTGTGTAAATGGTCCTGGTTACCAATCTTACCTGTACATCAAAGGCCTCTAACTCCCACAGGGAATTTTTCCTTTGTGTGTATTAGGGTAGGGATGAACAGGGTCAGTTTTCCACTACTCCATATCATCTGGTCCTCACATCCTTTCTCTACATTGATATTCACTGATATTGGTTTTCCTTTCAGTGACAACGTCAGTGCCTACTGCCTGCATATTGCTGAGGATGATGGGGAGGTAGACACGGATTTCCCCCCACTGGATTCCAACGAGCCCATTCATAAGTTTGGCTTCAGTACTTTGGCCCTGGTTGAAAAGTATTCATCTCCTGGTCTGACATCCAAAGAGTCACTGTTTGTTCGAATGTGAGTACTGACTTGCTGTTTTCCTCTGTCTCAACCCTGGTCTTCTAGTGTTGCATATCTGATCACATTTGTTCACTGAGTGAATTATATTTGGTACCTGGAGAGTCAACTCATGTGATTATGTCCAGAGAGATGTTGGGAATTTATACATTTCTAGTTCATGCCCTGCATGAATTAGGTCACACAGCCTGCTTTGCAGTAGTGATTGTGTGAGGTAGGTCTTAGATATCTGCAAGTAGACTTCTGGAGGCACAGATATGCTTGGCCTAGAGCAGCAACCCTTCTGGGGTTCTCCTTCTGGTCAAGGAATCCAGACTAAATAAAGATGTGTATTGAAGCCACTTTTCTTTTATGACTTAGGGTTATTTTGTCTCCAACTTTGTTCACATCCAGTTTGATTCTTCCTCAGGTGCCTTCCTTTAGACTGTGCTTAGCCTTTTCTGTCCCTTTGTCAGTCTGGTAAAACCTAGAAAAATCCTTCTCAGAAAAGTGTATATATATGCATAAAATAAAGTTCATTGGATTATGAAAGGATTCTGTTATGTTGAAAGTCACCGGATCTAAGCCTGTGATGTAGTGACAAGTCCAGTTTTACTAGTAGATTAAATAGCACAACCCAGCAAGAGATCTAACCTTAACTTTAAAGCCTGTTGTTTCAAATGATGATGAGTATAAATGCTGTTTCAGGAGTCTACATCGATTGCAGTGTACAATGGAGTTAGATAGGATGTCTGTTCATGACAGTTGCCAGCATGGCTTACCATACTGTGATTTGTTGCCTCCACGTACAATCTGAGGAAAGGCTAACTACTATAGGTAGAGATGGAGATGCCTTTTTGTCCATTTGGGCCCACAGAGCTGCTGAGTCCCAGTGGTTAAGGGTGAACCTACACACTCCAGCTTCACTCTAACCTAAGTGCTTCTAACCTAGGCCTCTGCAGCCTAGCTTCTGATCATCTCCTGGGAATAATAGTGATCCCTTTGGCACCCCCTGCTGTTAGGAACCAGCAAATTCACTATCCTAAGGCGGGATTGCTTTGAAGGACTTTCTCTGTCCCTTTAAAACAGATTCCTTTGTTTGAAATTTAGGAAAATGGGGTTGTGCAACGTATGAGTCATTCTGGATCTTTCTGCCCTTGAGCAAGAACAGAGCACCCGGTGTCTGGGTTGAGCTGGGAGCAGCTCCTTGAGCTTTCACAGCAGCTGGTTCATCTCTACCCTCAGGGCAGGTTTGGTGTATAAACGGCACATTTTGTTCCACTTTTTCATTTCTGAGGCACCAAAACAGCAGCTTTGGGCCTAGAGAGATGGCTCACCAGTTAAGAGCACTGACTGCTCTTGCAGAGGACCCAGGTTCGATTCCCAGCACCCACATGGCGGCTACGAACCATCCTTAACTCCAGTTCCAGGGGAATCGAAGCCTTCCGACCTCCACGGCATTGCACTACACGGGTGCACTCACATACATGCAGGCAATACACTGATACACATAAAAAAAGCTTTACAGAGTAGTTAAAATACTTCAAAAGCTATCCAGTTATTCTGCCATCCTAGTGAACCTGGTATATGTGTCTGCAGACTCACACGTGCATGCTTGCATGTATGCTCCTGTGTATGGGTACACGCACCTGTGCACATACATGTGGAGGCCAGAGGTTGATGTTGAATGTCTTCCTCAGTTGCTTCTCCACCTTACTTTTTATTTTTATTTATTGATTGATTCTTTTCTTTTTCCACTTTTTTTTTTTTTTTTGATTTTTTTGAGACAAAGTCTCCCTGTAGCCCCAGGTGGCCTGGAACTCACTATGTAGACCAGGCTGGCCTCTAACTCACAGAGATCCACCTGCCTCTGCCTCTGGTCCTAAATGCTGGGATTAAAGGTATGCGCCACTACACTTGGCTCCTCCTTACTTTTAAGACAGTGTCTCAAAAAACCTGGTGCTCACTATTTCAGGTAGATTGGCAGGCCAGCAGACTCCCCAGGATTTGCCTGTCCCTGTCCCCCAGCACTAGGGTTTCAGAAGTGTACCTTTTACATGGGTGCTGGGATAAAGCTTAGATCCTCGTGCTTCTGCAGCAGGCATTTTCCCCACCAAACTGTCTCCCCATCCCTGCTTTGGGTTTTACTTGGTCATTTCTATGGGTATACAGGTTATAGTTTGTTATTAGTTACATATGGGCTTTATATTTTTGCTTAATAGTATATTATAAATGTTTCATGGGCCAGGTGCACACATTTAATCCCAGCAGTCAGGATACAGAGACAGGCAGATGTCTGTGAGTTCAAGGCCAGCCTGGTCTACATAGTGAGTTCCAGGTCATCTGGGGCTATAGGGAGACCCTGTCTCAAAAAGACCAAAAAATAAAGTATTTCAATATTCTTAATTCCTACAATCTATACTTACTTTGTGTCAGAGATCTAGACAAAGACAACCCTTTCTTCTCTCATGGAGATTACTACTTAGTAGGGACAAGCTTGTCAAATCATTAAAATGAGGTAAGAGATATACGAAGTACACAGAATATTTTGATTATTTCCTTGTTTGAACTTTCATAAGTAGTATCAGTCATTACTTATGTCTCTGTGATTTCTGTTGAATAATTAGGTTCATTTCCTTTAAGTAAGTAGGGGTATTGGTTATAGAATAGAGGTTTGTTGTTTTTGTTTTTGTTTTTGTTTTTGTTTTTTATCACTGTCTCTGTCTGCATCTGTTTGTGTTGAGAATTGAACCCAGGGCCTCATCATACATGCTAGGAAAGTACTCGTCCACTGAGTTATGACCCCAGCCAAAGATTCTGACTTTATTATCAAATAACCTTCTAAAAGATATACTAGTTTATAGTGCCATCAGCAGAATTCATAAAACCATTTTCTTTTTCAATTTTACCATTACAGATGTGTTTGTTTTGTTTTGTTTTGTTTTCTACTTTAATGTATACAGGGCCTGGGGATATAGCTCACTGGTAAAGTGCATACCTAGTATACACAAAGCCCTGGACTTAATCTACAGTGCCACAAATAGAGAGTGGTAGAGTTATACAATGGTATTTTAAGTTGTTAGTTGCATTTTTAAGTAACTAGAAGGATTTTTAGGCATGAATATTAACATGACCATAGCAGTCTTTGGAAGTGAAAGTCCTTTTTAAGGAAGAGCCGTTGAAGAATGATTTTCCATAGAACAAGTCAGGGCAGGGATAGATGTACCTAGGCAGGTGTCCAAGAACACATCGGACCTGGTTGAGCACCCAGCCCACTGGAGAAGGGAGAGGAGTAACAGCTGCTTTAAACTCAGCACTCTTATTTCCACCTAAGTTACCCTATCTCTGTATTCCTACTCCCAAACACACCCCTCAATTGATCTTTTTCTGTTTCAAAGTTCAAGAGAGCTTATTTGACATGTCTGGAATGTTTTGGAGGGGGGGATGATGTTAAGTGAGATTTTTGTATGTGAGCTTTTTAAAGTAAAGTGTCAGTAAACTGTCTCTCTTCCCCAGTTTTCCAGATTACTGACCATCTACCTGTGTGTATGTACTGGGTTCAGCAGCCTCCCACCCACCAGTTGGCCGATATTCTAAGTGAAAATAGGGCAGAGACCTTTCAGAGCCTCTGGGGATATGCTCCAAAAGCATGAAGGAGATAGAGACAAGCAGGCGTGATGATAAGGAATACACTGGGGCCAACTCTGTGTATTAGTTACTCTTCTATTGCTGTGATCAAATACCATGACGAAAAGCAACAAGGAAGAAAGCATTTATTTTTGGCTTATGGTTCCAGAGGGATATAGTCCATAATAGCAGGAAGGGTGTGGCAACAGGAGCAGGAAGCAGAGAGACCATGCTTCATCCCCATATAGGAAGGAGAGAGAGTGAACAGGAAGTAGGGTGGGACTATAAACCCTCAAAGCCTGCCTGTCCCCAGTGGCATGCTTCCTCCAGCAAGGCTCTACCTCTATAAGGTTCCATAACCTCCCCCAAACAACACTACCAATTGGGTACCAAGTATTCAAATGCATGAGCCTATGAGGACATTTTCCAACACCCTAGTGAAAGGTAGGGGTAGGGAGTGCTAGTTAGTGGTGCCTAGTCAGTCAGTAGATTCCACTTTCTAAATGAAGGCTGACCTCATGGATCAATTGTGGGGACACCTGTGCCTGGTGTGGGTGAGCATTACCTTTAGTGCCAACTGTTGTCATGACTGAGTCACACAAACCTCTGAAAATAGGAGCTGATGGGTCATCTACACCCCATGCAGCTCCACAGTTTGATGGGTGGGTAACTTTGCTTCGTCTACATTTTTCTGCTTCCCTGACTCCTTCTTAACTGTTTTATGGACTGAAAAGCCTGAGTTGGAGTAACTTTCACTAGACATGGCAGGTAGTGGGCAGTGAGGATCTATAGATGGCTCAAGTTAGTCTTTTATGAGCAGACATCCTGAGAGATAGGCAAGACCATGAAGACTGCGGCAGGATAGCTGAACTAGTCTCTGTGTCCCCAGCATAGGAGTTTATAGAGGAATAGGTGAATGTCTGTGGGCTGCCAGGGGGACTGATGGCAAGTGCTATGTCCCACCTTGCTTGCTGAGCACTCTTAACTTCTCTGTCACTGAACTTTGAATATAAGCAAGCCCCAAGTTACCTTCTGGTCTTAGAGGCCCTTTTGGCAACTTTACTTGCCTTTATAAGTCTCTTCACCTACGAAATGTGAGTAAGAGGAATCTTATTAAACATAAGGACTAGTTATCCTAAGGGAAAATAAATTCTCCCAAGTTTAGGCTCATTGCTAAGCTTCAGTGTTTGCCCAAATTTGTTTTTACTATAATGCTACCTAAGTACGTACAATGTAAAGCTCTATAAAATCCTCTAATGTTTACCTATAAATTCCATATTGTTACAAAACCTAAAAGATTACAGGTTAGATATAAGTAAGATTATAGCATTAATAAAATACAAACTTAACTTTGATGCTATTGTTTTACTAAAAATAAGATTGCTAATGTTGTA